GAACAAGCAAGAGCTGTGGCGGAGTGCGTGCGCGGGAAGGACGCCGCGACGTTTCACGTGCCCCTCCGTGGATGTTCGGATATCCATCCGGGGACGTCGCCATGTGAATCTTCACGTGTCTCTCCAGGCACGTCGTCCTGCAGAGTCACGCTCCTGGAACATGCATGTATTTTCAGAGGGGGGGGGGCACGTGCGAACCCTACCCCTACCCCCCACGATTTCTGAGGGGGAGCGTGGGGTTCACTTCGCTCGGGAGCCCCCCTCAGATATCGCGGGGGGTAGGGGTAGGGTTCGCATGTGGTCCCCTACACAGGGGAAGATTTTTACCAGCCTGGAGCATATCCCTATCCCCATGCTGGGCATCTCCCCATCACGATGCCAATCTTAGGGATTCCCTTATTTTTTGAGGGCGCATCCCTGAGATTGTCATCGCCTTTTGGCGTGTCAATCTTAGGGATAGGGTTAAGTCGGGCCTGTCCCCCTACAGGGGGATTTTCGACGAAATATATATATATATATACACAAGACTGCATTGGCGCTTCGCGCCATGCACCTTGGTTCTTAAAGCTCGGCATGCAGGATAACCAAATATAGCGATGATTCATTGTTGCCGTTTGCGCCATCGTCGTTATTCTAATGTTATGTATTATCCTTATACTTCCTCTCCTCTTACTCGTAATCTTCCTTGTCTGCGAGCCACTCCTTGTCCTCATCCCCAGTTTTCATTGCAGGGGCTCCTCTTTGGAGGTGTTCTTGGGCCCCTCAAAAGCTTTTTGGGGACCTCTGGGGGCTTCCTGGGCGCCTTTTGGGGGCCTCTGGGGGCTTCTTGCGGCCACCTTGCTACCTGAACGACCGGGTCACGATTTGGAGTGCTTCGGGAGGCGTCTTGGGGCCATCTGGGCCTGTCAGCGGGGCTCTCTTGGGGCCATCTTGCGGCCCTGTTGGACCATATTGGAGCTCTTTTGGACTGTCTGGAAGCCCTTTGACACCGTTGTGGGAGGATTTTTGGGGCCTCTTCGGCGGACTCGGACGCACGGAATACCGAAGAACCGAATGTCCAAAAATTCAATAATAAACTAAAGGAAAGTGTTGTTTTTTGCACTTGGAGGACCTCTTGGGGGTCTTCTTTGGGTCGTCTTCGGGCGTCTTGGGGCTGTCTGGGGCCGCGTGGGGCTCTCGCGGGGCCGGTTGGCCGCCCTCCTGACCGCTTTGGGCCCGCTGGCAAGGCCCGGCAGGGGCGTCCAGGAGGCCCGGAAGGCCCGGGGGACCCATTGCAAGGCGTCCAGGGGGCCCCAAAAGCGCCAGATCCCGGGGGTCCGATTTTCCGGGGGGGGGGGGGTCCCACCCCCCCGGATTGTAAAAATATAGAAAAGGGAATATTATAATATATATATATATATATTATATATGTATATATTATACATATTATGTTATATTATATATATCAAATATATATTATATATATTCCCAAAGGTCAGAAGTACTCAAAAATAGTCCCCTGACTATTTTTGAAATCTTATTCGAATATTTTTTGGGTATTTTTTATTTTTCGTCGAAAGTCCCCCTGTAGGGGGACAGGCCCGATTTAAGGATAGGAATAAGTTCGAGGCTGGATGCATTCGTTCGCCCAAGTCTGCCTCCTGCGATCGAGGCCGCCAGCCCGGGATCGCGCGCGCCGCGCCAGAGCGCCCCGGGCGGGCGCATCCGGCCCCGCCCACCCCCAGAGGTTCCTGGGGCGATCCCGCGGCCTCCGCTGATCTAGGCCCAGGAGGCTCTCTCCCTCTCCCCCGCCCCTCTCACATCCCCCTCCCCCTCCCCCTCCCTGCTCCCCCTCCTCCTCCTCCCTCCGAGGCTCTCTTCTCCACCGAGGTCTCGCGAGGGCGCGAGGAGCTTCGCGCTGCGCGTGGGCCCCGGCCGGAGTTCTCCGCTCGGGCGCCGTCGCTTTGACGCCGGCCTCGGGCCTGGGGGCTCGTGTTGTGAGCGTGCGGATAGGGCATGCCGCGCAGGGCAGGGGTCAGGGCCCAGGTTTCGGGGCTTGTGGCAAATATCGGCCCATTTCCTTTGTAAAACGTGCGTTTTCAGCATGCTCGCTGGCTTCATCTTCACAGTGCCCCAGACGCCCCCGCGGAGCGCCAAGACAGCCCAAGAGAGACCCAAGAGGGCCCAAGACGGCCCAAAAGGGTCGGCCTGCGGGGCTCACGGAATCCTCCGAGATGGCCCAAGAGGCCACGAAGCCGGCCCAGGAGGCCCCCAAGACGGCATGCTGGCGACGACGATAAGGACCATGGATGGGGGTGATGGTGGAGCGAATGCTGTGGTGGTGGTGGTGGTGATGATAAGCGATGATAAGCATGGTGACGGTGATGATTAATTAGCCAATGAAGAACTTGTACTTATGAGTATGATGATGATGATGATGATGATGATGATGATGATGATGATGATGATGGTGGTGGTGGTGGTGGTGATGATGATGATGATGATGATGATGATGATGATGATGATGATGATGATGATGATGATGATGATGGTGATGATGGTGGCGATGATGTTGACGATCGTGGCAATATGGATGGAGATGACGAGCTAGAGGGTGAGGGGGGAAGGAGGAAGGAGAAGGAGGAAGAGGAGGAGGAGAAGGAGGAGGCGGAGCGCACCCTGAGGAGATTGGCTGGGTCAACCAGCAAGAAGCTCAAGCCCTCGCAGATTAAGAAGGTCTATAGAAGATTTCAGGAGCCCGCCGCACTGATCTATGAGAGTGAGAACGCTTAGCGGGATGCGCAGGGCACAGGATATCCAGAGCAGCTGGGAAATGAGAAGTGTGATAGGCGAATGTGCTGACAACAGATGGCCGAAGCCTCTACTTATCTTACTCATGCCCCCCCGTACTCCTCCCCTCTCCCTCACCCCCCTCCTCCTTGTGAAAAGAGTCTTGCTTGAGCGACGCATTCCGTGTCAAGTTTGGCTCAAGGGCCCTTTGCGGGAGTGGATCGTTGAGCATAGTGCGATCAAAAAGGCATTATGATCATTCGACCAGTTTCACACTGATAGCATAATGCGATACAGGATCTGGCGAACGATTCGATCTTTCATATCCGGGTGCGTCCACCGCACGCCGTGTTGTCTGCTCTTCTCGGCTGTTGGATGGTGAAGCTCAGCCAGGTGATGGTGCAGGATAGCCAATGGCAACGGCAACAATGACTCAGTAGTTTGGTACTTGCTCGGGGCGAGCTTCCGAGAAGAGATGGGAAGCTGCGATGACAGATTGGGCCGACGCAGTGCGGAGAATTGGTGTGAATTGGTGTGTTGCGGCAACGCTGCTGATATCCCGAACTATAAGATCAACTAGATGATCAAGTAGAAGACGCGTGACACGGCCGAACACGTACACGTTCATGCTGCGATTATCATGCCCAGGCCACACAGCGACGCATGCAACACTGCCAGTGAAGCAGGCGCTGATGAGTTGACACAGCTTCTGGCCAGCTCATCAGCACCTGCTTGGCCGGCGGCCGCTCTCGGCCTGAGACCGCTTCGAACGGGCCTCCTCCTGCTCCTCCTCCTCCTCCTTCTTTTGGGGTCGTCGTCAGGGGGGCCAGCGAGGACCGCAGCTGCGCGGTCCGGCCTCCCCGCTGCCTCCGCGCCGTCGGGGGCCGGCCCAAGACGTCTGGCTCAGACTCCCTTGTGTCTTGTCTTTGTGAGGCTGAGGGAGGGTGGGAGGGAGGAGGGAGGAGGGAGGGGGGTGAGGGGGGGCAGGGGGTGGGGGGAGGGGGGGAGGGAGGAAAGGGGGGGGGGGGGAGGGGGGGAGGGAGGGGGGGGGGAGGGTGTTGTAAGGGTGGTTGTTGGGGAGCGCGGCCTTTCCTCCCTGGCCCGGCCCTGGCTGACAGGCGAGGGCGGCACGCCCAGGCTCGCGACCGAGGTTGAGAAAACGCCACCTCCCCTTTCCAGGCAGGCTGAAGCCCACCACTCAGGAGGGAACAAAACACACAGACACAATTAATCGTATATCACCAGAAAATATGGGAAAATATGGGAATTGGGCGGGAAGGCCAAAATCCAAAAAATATGGGAAAATATGGGGGATCATTTTATTTGTGTGTATTTATTTGTGTGTCCCATGGCCCCTTCATGAAGCCCAACACGTGTTCCAGGAATGAGGTGGCGGAAGTGACATGTCAATCTCACCAGGCAGCCAGGCGAGCATAGGCGAAACAGTCTCGAAAACGTCCACCGCGAATCACCGCCGCCCCCTGCCTTTTTGGAAGCGCCTATGTAGCCGAACGTTGAGGCCAGACCTGCCAAGCTATCGGACCAGGTGTTCCCCGAATCGGTTTGGAAAGCCTTCGGGAAACATGTGGGCATCTTGAAGGTCATCTTGGCCGCCTGGAGGCCATTTTGACCCTTTCGGGCCTTCTTGGAGGACGTTTTGGAGGGCTCTTGGGCCGTCTTGGAGGCCATCTTGAGCGTCTTGGAGGCCCGTGGGCCGTCTTGGGGGCCTCTTGGGGCCGTCTTGGCGTCGGAAGGCCGACAAAAAAGCCAATGCCACAATCCTTCAAAACCTATGGGAAATCAATGATTGTGGCCTTTTCGGGCCTTCCTGGAGGCCCTCTTGGAGGCCTCTTGGGCCGTCTTGGGTCATCTTAGTGCCATCTTCGGCAGCCTTGGTGGGCCCCTGGCCCGTCCGTCCGACGCCGTCGGAAGCCGTTTGGGGGGCCTCTCTGGGCCGACTTGGGGCCTGGAATGCTCCAGGGCCGTCTAGGAGGCCATCTTGGGCGTCTTAAAAGCCTCCTGGGCCGTCTTGGTGACCTTTTGTGGCCGTCTTGAGGGCCTCTTGGGCCGTTCTGGGGCCATCTTGATGGCCTCTTGGGCGATCCTTGGGGGCTCTTGGGCCATATCGGGCCGTCGGATGGCCGAAACGACGCAAATGTCAAAATCCGTCGAAAACCCTAGGACAATCAGCGTTGATGGCCTTTTCTGGCCTTCCTGGAGGCCCTCTTGGAGGCCTCTTGGGCCGTCTTGGGTCAGCTGCGAGCCAACTTCGGCTATCTTGGTGGGCTCCTGGCCCGTCTGATGCCGTCGGAAGCCGTTTGGGGGGCCTCTCTGGGCCGACTTGGGGCCTTCTTTTTTTTTTGGGGGGTTATTATTTGTTTTTGCTTTTTGCTTTTGTGGATTCTTATAGGTGCTATGTTTTTTTTGTTGTGTTGCGTTTTTTGGGTGTGTTTTTTTTTTTTATTTTTTTTTTCATTTTTTTAGTTCTTTTTTTCTTTATTTCGTTGGTTTTTTACATTTTTTCTGTTGTTTTTCTTTCTTTTTTCTTTCTTTTGTTTCTCCCAGGGCCGTCTCAGAGTCCATCTTGGGGCCGTCTTGGGGGCCTCTTGGGCAGTCCTGAGGCCATCTTGGAGGCCTCTTGGGCGCTGTGGGGGCGATCTTGGGGGCCTCTTGGGCCGTCTTGGGTCGTCGGAAAGCCGAGAAGAAGCGAATGCGGAAATCCTTCAAAAGCCAAGGAAAAATCAATGATTTTGGCGTCTTCGGGTCTTCCTGGAGGACCTCTTGGAGGCCTCTTGGCCGCCTTGGAGGCCTCTGGGGGGCCTCTTGGGCCGTCTTCGGCCGTCTTGGACTCTCTTGGGCCGTATGGGAGGCCGTCTTGGACCATCTTGGGCGGACTTGGAGGCCATCTTGGACCATCTTGGAGGCCATCTTGGGCCAACGTGGCCATCTTGGAGGCTTCTTGAGCGATTACTTGGGGAATCCCACCAGCCCTCTGGGTGTCGGTGGTTTAGGGCGTTTCCTCTTCCACCCCTCCCTCTTCCCCTTCGGGGAGGGGTTTACCCCTCCCCCTACCCCCTCCCCACTGACCTGGACAGGAGGGGCGGGGAGCGGTCAGAGCGTCCAAAACGGCCTCGGCGAGGAAGCCAAAATCATTGATTTACTATGGTTTTGGCCCCATTTTGGCCTGCTGAAGGGGGCAGGGCTAATTAAAGCTCCCCTCTTCTTTGATCGATTGCCTCCACGATGGCCGCAAGAGGCCCCCAGGATGCCCCAAGAGGCCGCAGGATGGCCCCAAGATGGCCCCAAAAGGCCCCCCAAGAGGCCCCCAGGAGGCCCCCAAGAGACCCCCAAGAGGCCCCAAGAGACCCCCCAGAGGCACCCAAGGTGCTCCCAGAGGCCTCGGCGATAATGACAAACCATTGTTTGCACTAAGGTTTTAGCCACATGTTGGCCTCTTGGGGGGGGGCACTGATTAAGATGACTCCAAGAGCGCCTCGGAGAGCCCAAAATGACCTCCAAGATGGCTCAAGAAATCCCAAGATGTCTCATACTGGCTTCCTCTGTGTGCTGTCCACTTCCCTGATCGAGGCAATCCCACCAGCCCTCTGGGCGTCGGTGGTTTAAGGCGTTTCTTCTTCCACCCCTCCTTCTTTCCCTTCGGGGAGGGGTTTACCCCTCCCCCTACCCCCTCCCCGTGGACCTGGACCGGGGGGGCCGCGAGCGGTCAGAGCGTCCAAAACGGCCTCGGCGAGGAAGCCAAAATCATTGATTTTACTATGATTTTGGCCCCGTTTTGGCCTCCTGAGGGGGCAAAGATGGCCCCAAGAAGCGCCCAGGAGGCCCCCAAAGGCCCCAAGATGGCCCCAAGAGGCCCCAAGAGGCCCCCAGGAGGCCCCAAACAGGATCCCGAACGGCCCACAGAGGCCCCCCCGAGGCACCCAGGACGCCGAAAAGCCCTTCAGGACGACCCTCTACTCGCCTGGGCGTCGTTTCTGGACGGGCTGGTGGGGATTTTTTTTTTTTACGGCCGCAGGCGAACGCGCCAGCGGCGGGCGAAGTAGGTCGGGCCGCGACCGGCTTAAATTACCGACGGCTAACGCGCGCGACTAGGCGGCCGCGGCGGCGCCGGATGCAGCAAGCAGCAACTGCGGCGAGGGTGAGGCTGATCCCAGGGAGAGCTGAACCCAGGCAGAGCTGCAAGGTGACCCAGGGAAACCCAGGGAACACCAAATTAGCCAAACCTGACACGCGCTGCCAAAATGGCGCGAAATCTGAAGAGGCGCCAGCCGAAGCGTCGCACACCGACAGATCAAGTAATGACCGCTCAAAGGTAGGTAAACTTGCGTCCCAGGAGCAATCATGTGCACCGTGGTCCATGCATAGCATAGCAAGACCTGTGAATACATAGCAGTGCAACCGAGCAGGATGGACCAAAACCAGTGCCAAAAATGTACCCAGGGTGCACGTGCGCAGCCAATGGCGAGTGACACCGGGACAATGAAGGCGGCGCCAGCGGATGCGACGCACGACCAACAGTCATCCGAAGTGCGCCACCTGTGACACCTGTGGACCTGTTGGCAACGCCAGGAGCCAAGTAGGATAGACCACACCCGACCCTGTCGCGACCGTACAGAACCTAAGCTGCATAAGGCTGCCCGCTGGAAGGCCGGGTCACGGCCACACCCAGGAGAAGCCAGAGTGAATTAGGGTGAAACAAGGGCGGGCGCGCCCGCGGCTTTAGGTGACGACCTTCCACTGTTTCTGGTCCTTCCTGGGTGCGCGGGGATCAGCGTGGCCCTTCGCCGCCTGGCGCCCCCTGCCCGCGCCGTCACTTCCACCCAGGTACCGAAGCCGCAACTGCGCCCAGTCAACGCCGAGGTCCAGCGCGTCGTCCATGGCCCGCACGTCGCAGTTATGGCTGCGGAAGGAGGACAGGAAATTGACGCACGTTTGCTGGTCGTGCCGCCGCGGGTCGAGCGCGCCTTTGCTGCCAGGCATGGCGC